AGTTGATAGCTGACATGCTGTCTATCTTCATGGTACTTGATCCATGATTCTTCCCTATGATTTCTTCGACCAAATTCACCATCCAAGTTGCTTTACATGTACAAAGAGAAGCAGTTATATATTATGCTTTGCATAATGACAATGCAACTACTGGTTCCTTTCTCGAACTCCAAGCAACTTGCGCACCACCTAACATAAACACATACCCAGCTGTGGATTTTTTATCCTCGGCATCACTACACCAACTGAAGTCTGTGTATCCCACTAACTTTCATTCTTTTTCTTCATCAACTGCTGGAAATAAAATGCCATAGTTGAGAGTTCCTTTCAGATACCTCAGTATCCTCTTTGTCGCTGCTAGGTGTGATACCTTTAGCTTCTGCATGAATCTACTTACCATACCAACACTGTATGCTAAGTCAGGCCTTGTGTGACAAAGGTATCTAAGTGACCCAATAAGTCTTCTGTATTGGGTTGGGTCGACATCATCTTCATATGAATCCTTCGACAATTGCAATTTGGGCTCAGCTGGAGTCGAAGTTTGGTTGCAATCTTACATCTCAAATATCTCGAGTATTTCGCCTTCATATCTTCTTTGGTGCATCATCAAACCTCTACTTGTTTTATAGAATTCGATGCCAAGGAAATATGAGAGATTTCCCAAGTCTGACATTTCAAACTCCTCACACAGGTCATGTTTGAAATCTTCGATCTCCTTCTTGCAACTTCCTGTTATTAACAAATCATCAACATAGAGACATATTATAAGCAATTCGCCATTGCTTCTTCTTACATATACTCCATTCTCAGTTGTCCACTTCACAAATTCCTTCTTCCTTAAGAAGCTGTCGATTTTCTTATTCCATACTCTTGGAGCTTGCTTAGGTTCATACAGAGCTTTATGAAGCCTGTACACCTTTATTTCTTCACCTTGTTTCACAAACCCAGCTGGTTGTGCAACATAAACTTCTTCATCTAAGGGGCCATTAAGGAATACACACTTCACGTCCATCTGATATGTGTGCCAGTTGTTCATATTTGCTAGACCAACAACCAACTTGATTATTTTTATTCTAGCAACAGGTGTGAATACTTCATCAAAGTCGATTCCTTCCTTCTAAAGAAATCCTTTCGCCACAAGTCTCGCCTTGTGTCGAGTTACTTCTCCTTTAGGATTTACCTTCGCCTTGTAAACCCACTTCACATCAATTGCCTTCTTGCCTTGCGGCAATTCGAAAAGTGACCAGGTATCATTGATTTCAATGGACTCCAACTCTTCAATCATTGCTTTCACCCACTTCGAATCTTTCAATGCCTCGGCTGCATTGACTGGTTCGACATCTGCGTAGAAAGTATAATGTACCAGCTCATCCTCTTCATCGATTACATCATCTGATGTAATTACACATTCTTGCAACGTTGCAGGCATGTCTCATGTTCGTCGAGGTCTGCTTGAACCTGCTTCATCTGGAACTGGTTCCTGTCGAACTTCTATTTCGACTTCAGTGGCTGGTTCTTCATAAGAGATTCTCACTAAATCCTTCTTGGCATTCTCAGTCTAATCCCATTCTTTAAGCTCATCTATGATCACGTCCCTGCTGATCACTACTTGCTTATTCACTGGGTCGAACAGCTTGTAACCTCCTGTCGAATGATATCTTATCAAGATCATCTGATTTGACTTATCATCAAGCTTTCTTCTCAACTGATCTGGCACATGTCTATGTGCTATAGATCCAAACACTTTCAAGTGACTGAGACTAGGCTTGACACCAGACCAACATTCTTCTGGTGTGATTCCTTCAAGCTTCTTCGTTAGACATCTGTTCAATATATATGTTGCTGTCGAAACTGCTTCTCCCCATAATTCTTTGGGTAGATGCTTTCCATTCAACATACTTCTCGCCATATTCATGATGGTTCTGTTCTTCCGTTCTGCAATCCCATTTTGCTGTGGAGTGTAGGGTGGAACCACCTCATGCACAATCCCTTCTTTTACACATAGTGTATCGAACTCTTTTGACACATACTCTCCACCACCATCAGTCCTCAAAATTTCCAGCTTTCGACCACTCTGTCTTTCGACCATAGACTTGAATCTGGAAAATACCTCAATCACATCACTTTTCTTCTTGATGAGGTAAGTCCACAACTTTCAATTGTAATCATCTATAAACGTGACAAAGTATCTATTGCCACCAATCGAATCCACCTGGATTGGACCACATACATCAGAGTATATGACTTCAAGTATTACCTTCGACTTCCTTCCTGCATCCTTGCTGAAGCTATTCTTGTCTTGTTTCAACTGAACACACTCCTCACAGACTTCACTTGGAATGTCGATTTCTGGTAATCTTGAAACCATATTTCTTCTCTTCAGTTCTCTGATGTCATTAAAGTTGAGATGACCTAGTCGAAATAGCCATAACCACCCATCTCTGCTGGTTGCAGTTGCTAGACACTTGTGCTCCATCTCATTGAGTTCAATCTTGAAGGTCCTATTTTAAGACATTGGAGCCTTCAAGATTAATCTACCACCTGTGTCGAGAACTCTCATCATCTTGTCTTCGACAACTACCTTGTAGTTCTTTTCGACAAGCTGCCTTATACTGAGCAAATTACTCTTCATGTCTGGTATGTACAACACATTGGAAGTTATTGACCTTTTTCCATCTTTCCTCATAATCAGAACATCACCAACACCTTCAGCTGCTAGAGTGTTGTCATTTGCAAACTTCACTGTGTTCTTCGACGAGGGCTTCATGTTGACAAACCAATCTTTCCTTCCAGTCATGTGTGATGAGCATCCTGAGTCCAAGTACCACTGATTTTGGAATCTTTCTTCATCTTTTGTTGTGACCATTAGCAACGTTTCTTCTTCTTCATGTTTCGCCAGCTTTGCATCAGTCTTTTGATTTCTCTTCCTTTTTGGACAATCACTAACATAATGATCATACTTCTGGAAATTGAAACATTGAATGTGGCTTTTGTCTGTCTTTCGACCACCACTTCTTCCTTTACCTGCTGCACCACCTCTTTGGTTGCCTTGGTTTCAAGGTTTCTTCTGATTCGACTGGTTTCCTCCTTTGTTGTCATTCCAACTACCTTTGCCTTTTCTGACTGCGCCTGCAAAGCCATATCTTTCGACTTTCCTGCAGCTCTCTCAGCCATCCTCTGTTCATGAGACTCAAGAGTCCCTTGAAGCTCTTCTTTCGTCAACACTGACAGATCTTTCGACTCTTCTATGGCAAACACCACGTGGTCGAATTTTGGAGCCAACGATCTCAAAATCTTTGAGACAACTGCTTTTGTCTCTCATACTTCTCACCTCACACCCTATGAAGAATTTCCTTCAATCTTGATCTCAAGATTGATGAACAAACCCACAATATGATAGTAATGGTGATAACTAGTGAAGAGTTATCAAGAACAACAAAAGAGAAGAAGAATAACAAACAAACAACAAGAAAGAAAAGAATGAGAGAAGAAATATTTAGAGAAAATTGTGCTACCTACAAACTGTGAGATTTCTTATTACTATTGAACTTTCACTTGCTAAACTCTGCAACTGTGAAATTTGTTCTAATATTGATTACAAAGCAAGGCACCTATTTATAGTTTTAGGTTTACAAAAGCTCAAAACATAAAAGGCCTAAAATATTCAAAATCAAATCTAATCTAAATCATATCAAATCTCATCAAAATAAATTTGTGTCAAAACAAACTGTTTCGACACACTGAAAGCTTCGACACACTGAAAGCTTCGACACTTTGACACTTGACTTAGACTTCGACTGCTTCCTTGCTATTTCGACTTCGACACAATATGAATTACATTTAACAGTCTTGCTATTAGATTGAGATGTAAGGCAAAGAAGAGTCTGATTGTACTTACATGTATGGTCTTATAGAAATATGTGTATCATAATGTATCTGCTACAGATATCAAGGAAAAAAGCAGAGACATCTTCCATAAGGTTGTTTACAACATTTATTGTAAAAAGAGCCAACAAAAGTACTAGTGGTATTGAATTTGGTTAGAGTAGTGGAATCAATAGTTAGATAACCATTGAATCAGAATCCACTCAAAACTGTGTTCAGACTCTATTGATCAAGTCTAAATACTGAATCGAATATGATCAAACAAAAAAGAGTAATATACTTGTTCTTTTCTACTTTATCTTTTAATTCAATAAAACATTTGTATAAATATAAATATAAAGTTTCTGTTAAATTTTTAAAGAGGTTCTTTCATAAAGAAAAACTTCAGAAATATTTAAAAGAAAACTCTGTTATTTTGTGATGTCTTATTAAATTATCAATGTATATATTATTTTTCACATGCACCTCTCATACCATTTATCTTTGGCGTTTCTTATTTTATTATGCCAAAAAACAATTGATCTTTTAGAGAGTTCAAGAGGATTGATTTTGCAATGTAAAACAAATAACATCGCAACTTGTTTTCCGTTTGCCTTCTACTTCTCCTTCTGGATTGGTGTTAATAAAAAAAAGGCATGGCTCATTCTAAATTATAAAATGTTGTTAGCAACATCTTACAATATTTAGTTTGAATTAGTTAAACTACCTCTCTTCAATGCGAGTTAAACTAAACTAATACAAGTCTAAATGTCAAATTTACAAGAGTTTGGATTTAACAATCTTGCACCTATAAAAACGATGTAACTTTCCATGTCTAGAAAAAGTCAAGTGAGTGTAGCAAATGTACATTTTTCATAAAACCAAAGTTTTTGAACGGCTCATAAAAACTGTATCAAACCATTTTGCCCTTAGTTTGGGATTTACTGAATGAAAATCAATTCAAGCCTTTTTATCAAATGTTATTCACACTCAAATAAACACAAAACCCTATTTCAAACCTAGGTATAGTGTTTATCTTTACAACATGAATGTTGCAGTGTGGTAAATGTTGATAATAATGCAGACCAATGTCTTATAAACAATGTAGCCAGCCAGCCAGCCAATGAAGGCATCAATCACGCATTTTCATACTCATACTCACCACTCACATCAACATCGATTTCCTCATCGTCTTCAATGTTCATTGAACCGGAACCAGCTTGACCACCTTCGCCAACTTTCGACCCCGGTCCTGGTACACTTGCCTCTTGTATGATCCTCATGATTTCTTCCACGCTTTGGCTTGGTTGATCCTTCTTTGTTTCCACAAAACCTTTTCTTTCAGCCTCAATGATATCTTTAGGCAAGTTCTTTAAAAACCAAGGGTTATGCTTTATCTCTTGGAGACTGATCCTCTTTAACAATGAACATAAATAATTAGTTCAAAAAATCGAGCATAATACAGTATCTAAATCGACTTAAATACCTTGGCAGGGTCAGCAACAAAGATGCGAGATAGAAGATTCCTACACTCTGCAGAAACGCGTACATAGTCGGGAATGGAGTACTGAACACCTATTATTCTCTACCAAACCAGAGAATCAAAGTTCAAATTCTCTGCTATTCGAGATTACTCAATTAATCATTGGCATTTTGAAGTTGAAGTTAAATAAAAGCTTACCCCAATAGTCTTTCTGAAATTTCTAGGATCTTCTGGTTCTTCAAATGGATATGCACCAACTAGCATGACATAAAGAGTCACACCACATGACCAAACATCTGCAGTCTATACAAGAGCCAAAAACATTTGCTGAATTGATCATTTTGGACTAAACGATGAACTTTTCAATCGATGTGAGACTATACTATTACTATATGTCAAATGTTAAACCGTGATTGTTAATACTTAATAGCCATAACATTAACATGTGGTTTGAAATATGGTTTTTAAGGCTCTTGAGAAAATCTCAGGTACCTTTCCGTCGTATTCCTTTCGTGACAGAACCTCTGGAGCAATGTATGCAGGAGTTCCAACTGTTGACTTTGGTATAGAGTGCAATAGCGCAGACTGCAATTGAGTATTGAATTAAATCGGAAACATAAACAAATACTATTAACCTCGGATATGATACAAAATACAATATATGATATATGGCCAGAAGTCCTCAATTAGGTGAAATAGTATTAACCTTGGAGTAACCAAAGTCACAAATTTTAAGCCGAGGAGATGGATTTCCGTCCAAGAGCGTGTTTTCCAATTTCAGATCTCTATGACAAATTTCCTATAGCACGAGGCATAATATAAAACACGAGTTTGTAATGAAAAATACAACAGATTCTAAGTGCACGCATACCATTGAATGACAGTAGCTAACACCAGATATTAGCTGTTGGAAGAAATATCTTGCCTGTAATAATATAAGAAAATCATTCACACGATAAATTTCAACGTGAATAAGTTATTCGCGTATACAAATGTTTCAAAAGAAAAAACAGAAGTTCAATTCAACCACATTAATTCTTTAACCTCGTCTTCACTAAATCGGCCAGCAGTACATATCCTCTCAAAGAGTTCACCACCAGCAGCATATTCCAAGACAATGGCTAAATGAGAAGGTGTCAGCATGACCTGCAGAACAGATACCTCATTCATCATTTTACTATAACTTCTGAAATCTCTGAATACTACAAATTAATCGCGCAACAGTGATTGAACGCAAACGATTATGACCTTGTAATGATGCACTACATCATATAACTTTTTGCGCTTTATAATCCAATATCTATTAGGTGTTACATAAAGAATGCTCCTCTAAACCTAATGAAGAAACAGTTAAAGAAAGTAAAACTGTTACCTCTTTGAATCTGATAATATTAGGATGCCTTAACGATCTGTGGTTAATTATCTCCCTCTGGACATTCTCATCAATCTGATATCACAATCAAACTCACTCAGAACAAACACATATCAGAAAGAATTTGAATGAAAAAATTAAATATCCCTAATCCAAAGTTTAAGCTAATTAAGCTATGATAATACACTACACGTCTCCATAGTTTAAGCTAATTCAATTTATTCTGAAGAATTGAAACATTCAAGATTTTGAAATAACACAAATCAATCTAATAATTACAGTAAATTACAAATTGACTAAACTAATTTCCAATAAATAAAAAAAATATGAACCAAGAAAAATCATGTATCAGCTAGCATCAGAAATATTCAAGAGAAAGTTACAAGAATACTCAAGAAAACAAGAATGAAAAAACAAAGAAATTGACCTTTTTGCCCCTTTCAATGTATTTGAGAGCAACAAGTTCGCCAGTGTTTTTGTCTTTAGCCAACCTAGCAACAGCAAAATTTCCAGAACCAAGTTCCTTTAATGGCTCATATCTTTCTTCCATGTCAACCCTCTAAACCAAAACTCTCAAAAACAGAAAAGAAAATACCAAATTATATGATAAAAATATGTGTAAGGAGGCTAACTATAATATTATTTTGGTTATGATGATAATGTTTTGTAATGTTAAATGTGAAACAGACAGAGGAGGGACCCAATGGAAAGAGAATCAAAAGAGAGGGAGTGGACAATAGTTACATTTATAACTGAAAGCTTACCTCAACAAAGTTATTTATGGGATGTTTTTAATGTGTTATAAAGTTAGGGATGGAATGGTATTTTAATTAATGGAATAAGTTGCTTTCATGGATATTATTTTAAAATGTGAATGATGTAAGGTATAGTGTTGGTAAGGTGGAGAGGTAATAATTGGATTGAACTTTGGAGGTTGTGATGAACTTGTTTGCGTGTAGTGTACTATCCATCAAACACTACACGACAATTACAATACAAATTCATTTCTTTATTTGTGTATGTTGTAATCAAGGGAGATAAAGTATAATATAAGTCTCATCTTTTCTTTTCATTTTATGCTTAATTGCAATTTTCATTTCTAGATATCATGGCTATGTAGTTTTAGCCCCCCTTTTTTTTAAAGTAATATCTACCTTTTGCATTTTTTTCATTCATGAATCGTATTCTCCTGCTAAATTTTTTTATAAAGAGGGTCTTCCGTTCAAGAATGTCTATCGATGGTGAATGATTTTAAATCAGTAGTGTTGATTTTTAATACAGTGGTGTGAGGTGGAATTACAAGATTTTTATTCTAATCCCCAAATCAATTTTGGATTCAAGATGTGTCTATTAAAAATGAAGATTAGAATAGTGTATCTTGAATATCATGTGTGATGATATTTATAAGTTGGATCGTTCGGAGTGGATTGGTATTGGATTGGGCCTTGGCCTTTTTGGGGCTTTGGCCGACCCAAAACAGTTTTCCACGAAACTTGCAGGGTAGATATTAGTCGAAAAAGTCTTTAGAGGTTAGGGCCGACCTTTGAGGGTGATGTTCACTCTAGGTCAGAAGTGGAATCGTCTTGGATCAGTTGCAAAATTAGTGGAGAACATGCACATTAAATGTCTTTCCATCATTAAAATGTTTTGGTGTTCTTCTGTGACGTGTCACATGAGATGACAAGTTAGGGCATGACGTTACTTATAGTGTACTCAAGTAAACTTGAGTTTGTTTACGTTCCCTAGGAAGAATACAACCATAGATCGTGTAGCCTCCCGCTTCCGTTGATATGGTTCGTTGTTTGCCTCACCTATATGTACGGGTTTTCGAGTGTAGAGGGAACTTTTCACAATCCTTAAGAGTCAGTTTCTATTTGCGATTGCTTTTCTCTTTTCCTTTCCAAGAGCATTTACCATAGCGATTGTTGTCCTTTGCACAAATCTTTCCTTCTTCCTCATTAAACTGTGATTTCTCATCATACTCTACTTTACCAAGTACCTGTTGGTGTAAGCCCTAGAGGCCAATACTTTTTGGTACTTGTATCGGATTATTCGTTTAATAATAAAAGGCATTTCTTTATTATGTTTGTCTTTCAGAATAATAAAGTCCCTAGAATAGTTAGTTTGTTTAATGAAATGTTAAGTGTGACTTAATCATGAGATCCCATTAAACATAAAGACATTATTCTTAAAATATCCGTAGTCAAGCTTTATTGCAAAGTGGGATAACATTAAAAGCATTGAGACTATTATGAAGATAGACTGATGATCACATCTCATGGATCATGGATAAAGAGTTATCAAGTCTTGACATAGGTATAAATATTAGGAGTAATATTTATACCGGATTGACCCGCTATGAGAATACTACATAGTATGTTATGCAAAGTGTCATAAGTTATTCTCATGGTGATAATGATGTATTACCACCCTTCGACCTGAAACCACTATGGACCCTAGATGTAGAGTCGGGTGCTTTATTGCTGATCAAACATTATCCGTAACTGGATGATCATAAAGACAGTTGATGGGCACTCCACGAAGCATGCTGAGGGACATGAGTGTCCTAGATGGAATTTGCCAATCCTGCATAACAGGAGAAATGTCTAAGGGCCCAATATTGAACTAGACAAGGATGACACAGTGTATGCCTTATGTTCAATATAGACATAGGGGCAAAAGGGTAATTGTACAAACATATATTATCACGAAAAAGGTTTTGTCAGATCACATGACATTTTCGTGACTTGGGTAGCAGTGATGTGTTGCTAGATACCGCTTACTGTTTATTATGTTAAATATATAATTTAATATAATTACCAACGTTACGAAATCCTACAGGGTCACACACATAAGGACAGTTTGATGAGAGATAGAGAAATCAAAGGAACACCGTAAGGTACGGTGCACTTAAGTGAAAAATAGAAATTCGGATAATATAATAATAATTATTGTTATTTTATAATGGTTATAAAATAATAATAAAATAAATATATTTATTATAATAATAGTTATTATAATAATATATAATATTATTATGGATCATGTGAATTGGGTTTTTAGCCCGCAGCCCACAAGAGAGTCTATAAAAGGAACCCTTGTGATGAAGCTTTCACTTGATGCAATTTCGTTTTTGATTCTCTTTTCTCACTCAAATAATTCCGTTCGTAAGCAGCTAGCACTGTGACCGAAAGTTGTTCGTGTGGACTGAGTAGAGGCGTTGCACTTCATCAACGCTTGTGATCGCTGCATCAAAGATCTGAATCGCCACAAAGAGGTAACGATTCTATCACTGACCATGCTCATTCGTAAGGATCACTAAAGGAAATTTTTGTTTTCCGCTGCGTTTAGATCGCAATTTTCCTTCAGTGGTATCAGAGCCACTTACGAAACCATGGATCTGATAGCTGTTAAATTTCTGTCTTTTCTGTATTTGATTCGATTAAAACACAGAATGAATTTAACAATAAACGATTAATTAAATTTGGCATCTGTTGTGTACGATTTGGATGATTGATGTTGATTATGCTTCAGAAACCGACATTAGTATGGTGAAGTTGTGCGATACATTGATCATCCATAGGTTACACAATTAGATCGATCACTTTTATATAAGATATAAAAAATTCTGATGCAAAGATGGTATATGGGATATACTGTTTTGATTTCATCCATTCAATCACATAAGGATTGTAATTCTTTTGAAAGATCATCATTTTCATTCGCTTCGGAATCCGACGTTAGTATGGTGAAGCAATGACATGTTGATCTATCATATTGAGTTATCAATCGAGTTGTGTTTGACGGCATGAAATTGTTGCATTAGGATTAATGGCAGTACAAGTGTTGTATTGCCGCAGACTTTTCCGGTTGGGGTTGTAAATGCACAAAAGTTGTGCAGGAAACGACGTGAAATACAATGAAGTGTTCCGCTGACCGGGCAGCGGAACCCCCGGCTAAGTCTGCAAAGTGTGATCAATCAGCCGAAATTTAATTTAGTTTATTTAATTATCGGAATTTTAAACTAATAATAAAAGTGTGTTTATTATTATTTATTTGTGGTGATCAGTTATGGCCTTAGTTTTTCCTTTATTATTGTTTTGGGATTTTTTGAATACGGCCTGCGTGTCGTGCCTCTCTCTCAATCTCTTTATGTAACTTCTTTTCTCATCTCACTCCCTCGTATGTAAAACGAGTTTTCTTATATGTAATGTAATATTATGTTATGAAAAAAAAAGGAAGTATTCAATATTAAAGGAGGATAACCTTGGAGATCATGCTTGGAGAAGCTTAGATCGTTATTAGGTTAGCTTAGGTTCTCTCATTGGCTTGAGAGAACAATTGCGTTAGGGGCCATAATTGTATCTTTTTTTTATATGTATGTTGATGCATGTAATTGTATGTTGATGCATGTGAGAGACGTTTTGCATGTTAAGCCGGTGAGATCAAACTAATAACAAATTCCCTCAAAATTAAATATTAAGTTTATGCTTTCCAATTTTTAGCACTCATCAAGACTAGTATCGAGCATTGTAGGTTTCGCCTACGCGAGGTGCATGTTCTATATTAGTAAGGTGTGATGGGATAATTGTAATATCCAATTGCTAAAACAATGGGTCAAACTTAACTAAACAAATTATAATAAGATTATATATGTTTAGAAGCAAGAATTGGGAATGATTCATGTGATGGATCAGAATAAGGAGTTATTCACCCAATTGAAAATATTCGAGAGTTGTATGAGATACAATTGGAAGGAGTTCCTACCTAAATAACTTAGTTTTGTGTAATCAGCCTAACGCTGACTTAAAACAAAGTGAAACATGGATCTCGACCCACTAGAAAGTCTTCCAACGGGATTTTCCGAATCAAATGATGAGGGTCATTTGTTTTGAATAAAATAGTGGGAGCATATTTGATTAAAGGCCTAATTAAATATGTTGTTTTAATGATACTTATATTTTCATATTTCTCTTGTAGATTACCATGACAACAAACACATCGAACAATATTTTGCGATCCATCCTAGATAAGGAAAAATTGTCTGGGACAAATTTCCTGGATTGGCACCGTAATCTGAGGATTGTCCTCAAGCACGATAAGAAGCTGTCTGTCTTGGAGACACCAGTTCCTGAGGAGGAACCTCCTAGTTCTGCACCAAAGGCAGAAAGAGATGCTTATAAGAAGCATTTCGATGATGCCAATGAAACCGCTTGCCTCATGCTTGCTACCATGAACTCTGAGTTGCAAAAGCAACACGAGAACATGTCTGCGTTCGATATGATCGGACATCTGAAAACGCTTTATCAAGAGCAAGCAAGAAATGAGAGGTTTCAGGTTTCAAAGTCCCTTTTTAACAACAAGTTAGCTGAGGGAGCCCCTGTAAGTCCCCATGTACTCAAGATGATTGGGTATGTGGAGAACCTTGACAGATTAGGGTTTCCCCTTGGAAAAGAACTTGCGATTGATCTGATCTTGCAATCGTTGCCAGAGAGCTTCAGTCAGTTTGTCCTGAATTTCAATATGAATGACTTGGACAAAAGTCTTCCA